GGAGGAGGAGAAGGAGGGGGAGGAGGAGGAGGAGGAGGAGGTGAACCTGAAAAGGAGGAAGAGTAGTACGAAAACATAAATGTGATCTACCGTGGCGGTAGAAATGTGTGGAGGGCAATTTTAGAAATGGAAAAACGAAATATTTCAAAATGGACTATTCAGGAAAAGGACGTGGTTAATTGGGGAAACTAAAGACGCAAAAAAGGGAAAAATAACAGGCGAGTGTGGAGACCAAATGGGGCAATGGAATAAGAATGTTGATGCAGCGGTTCCCATTTAAAATACAGGTGAACATTGTGAATCTAGAACTGATATATTTTGAATAAATATTTCTTATCCCGCTATTAAAGAATTATTACACGACAAATGTGTTTCCCAAACTCTATTTGCATTTGTATAGCATTTGTACCATTTTGATCGAAGTTATTTGTTATTCTTATCGCGTGGGCTGACAATCCATTATTAAACTAACTTCACCAATCTGTACCATTTTAACGCAGACATTGCGTACATCTTTTATCTTACTGTGAAATGAATGCCATGTTGTCGATAGTAAAACATCGTCCAACGTTTCCCCGTGTGTTTGCGTTGTTTTGTCGATGCAATTCCATGAGCTTTTAACTAATCGACTCTAATCATTAGTGCAAACGTTTGAACGTACTGGGCTGTCTATTTTCAAACACACTAGTAAACATGTGCGTTGAACGCGTTTTGAAGTCTAAAGCACTTGTTCAAATTCACAATACGCAAATGTATCGAGTTGAATGCTTCTTCTCGAGCTATGTTCATAATATTACAAAATAATGTATACCAGATATTTCCCAACTCATTTGGTCTCCACGTTCATAACGAAAAAAATTTGGAAAATATTTGTGCTGTATCGTGCTTGACTACACTTTCACTTGCGTACTGCATTAGAAGAAAAATAATGTATTTCAGTTACTTCTTGAAACAACTGAATAATATCCTTTGCCATTAATCTTATTATTTTAATTTAATTCGCAAAATGCTAGTAATAAATCAGTATTTAAATGTAGAGTAATAAAATTTATTTTCACCAAGACTGTGAATGGGTTTTAATCTTAACAATACAAAAATTTTAGAATCTGTTATTTCGCACATGTTTCACGAATTGCAGCAGATTGAATTCCATCAAGACAGACGTTTTGCTTCTACCATTTGTATATATTTAACCACCCTCATTTTAAAGGTCATCTGCGTCTCTTCACATCTCGTCTCGATCCTGTGAGTGAGAGGTGGCTTAGCCTATTTTGGAAGCAATAATAACCGCGGTTCTCAAATACTTTATTTTTATTAAATGTTTCCGTTAAAATGTGCATTAATATTAAAAATATAATTCTTGGAAATTGTATTTTAAATTGACGTGAACATAGGTGTTAAACGCGCGAATTCTTGTAACCTGACTAGAAAAATAACCAACAACATTAAGAACTCCTTCAAATTATTGACTTTTTTCATAAATCCCATATCTGGAAATGAACAATCATATTGTCTAAAGAAATAAGCACACACTCTTCTACATCAAAATATGGATACGGGATTTTTAAATAAAACTATTTCCCATCATCTTTCTCCAATTTTCAGGTAAACGTAAAAATTACGTTTTGGCACACTTTCCCCTCTCAAAACCATCAATGAAAATGCTGAGATATTTTGATCATATTTGGATGGACACTAACCAGATATTCTTAGTTATCCAAGCGGGCATACATTGTTGGTTTCTGCACACTTTCTCGATTCAATTTTCAGCTGAGAACTTCAATCCTTAGCTTTAGTAAGAAACTAAAATAAAACTTCGGACCACACCTTTAACTCCCCAAAATGATTACAGTATTCACGGCGCAGCAAGTTAATTGGAATGAAGAGCATTGGCGAACAGGCCAATCTCCGCAGATTAGTAAGAGCTCCTTGACGCCCCATCCCAACGAGAGAGGTCTGTAATGCTTTCGCTATCGCGATTCACTTCTAGGAGGAGAGCTAGGAGTTCTTGCTCATCAACTGAAGTGCTGTTGAAG